CATTCACAGATCGGATGCATACCATGAGGCCAGCTCCTTCACAGGTAGTATCTCTCTCCTTCCATTTTTGTGGGTGAGTAAGGCTTTGCTCTCTCGGGGCAGCTATTGATAGATGTGGAGAGAAGAATATTGAAATGCGGACTGGTCCACTTCTGTCTCATTTCTATGCTGCTTAGTTCCTGACTCTCCCATGATAGTAGCAAGTTGATCAACGCAGATGTCTCCTGGCTCTCACATTGATGCCAAGGTATGTGAGACTGGTGTGCTTTGCAGGTTGCCTGTCCGGTTGTGCTATAGGTGTTCAAACCCAGCTGTCACACTGAGCATGCTTTATAAGCATTTTCCGAAATCTCACTCTGGGTCATAGTCCTGCAGGATTGGTCATTTCTTCAAAGAGGCTTGATTCCGAATCAAATCACTGTGTATCACTGCCACCTGCCTGCTCTTAAATATCCCCATAGTTTCTGTGAGTGCAGTGGGAAAGGAAGGGGTGCAGGGAAGGAAAAGTCACATCTGTCTCAGTGTTGCATTTGCTGCCAGATACAACAGAAACCAAGAACATTTGAGCCTGAATGACCTTGGTAACCTGATCTCTCATATTTCATGTGTTTCAGCCAAGGACTAAAGGCTGGAGTCTAATGTCTAAGAGGTGATTAGTACTTTGGCATTTACAAAGTGCTTTCATGTTAATCTGAGCTGCATGGCAAACCTTATAGGTAGGGAGGGTAATCAACTTGTCTGAGATTCTCTATTTAGCACTGGCATAGTCAAAACAAGGGTCTGCATTTTGGAGAAAACCTGGAATGGAGCAAAGATTAAGACTAGTGTTTCATGGAATAAGATTCCAACCTAGATACTCTGCTGCTGATCAGTTTTGTGATCTTTTCTAGCTTTTAAATGGGTAGAGTCCAATCCTTGCTGTATGCAGTTATTGTGAGGGAGGAGGACATGGTGCACATGAAGAACTTGGTAGAGTATCTGGAGCAGAAACTAACCAAGAAATGTTAGCTTTACTAAACTAGTCTAACCCTCCAACCATCTGGAGTAAGTCTGATTACAATTAACAGAATGATAAATCAGTATTGATTTAAGCAAATAGAGTTTATTTTTCTCACAAATAAAAAGTCGCACAAGGTGTGGTGGCTCATGTCTGTAATCCCAGTACTCGCGAGTATGTGGCATGTGGGTTGTTGGAAGTTCAAGACCAGCCTAGGGTACACAGTGAACTGAAGCCCAGCCTGAACTGTATAGTGAGACCATGTCTCAAAAAGAAAAAAAGGGGGACCTGCCCCTTAGCTCAGTTGTTTAAGTGCCTGCTTAAACAAGGCAGTCAGTCTGAAGATGCTGTGGTTCGATCCCCAGATCCTCAAGGCAAACCAGACCTGCCCTGAAGGCATCCTGAGCACCCCCCAAAAAAATCCTTCTTCCCTTTTTGGGGGGCCAGGGAGATGACTCAGTAGAATAAGTACTTCCCTGGCAAGTGGAAGGGCCTGAGTTCAATCCCTGGTTCAAAAAAAAATTGGAAGGCAGACAGTCCAGGAGCTGAGTGATGCCATCAAAGACTGTACCTTCTTCCATCCCCTCAACCCTCTGTAGTATATTGGTTTGCTACCTTGTGGTCACAAAGTGGCTGCTGCACTCCAGCCATCATATATAGAGGAAGACCATGCCACAGTCTACAAAGTTTTCTTTTGTAAAATAAACAAAAACTTTGCCAGATCCTCATCCACAACCACAGCAGATAGCTGTGCTTGTCTTCATCCGTAGCAGTAAGGGAGAACTAGGGAAATGACCATTTAGTATTTCAGATTTAACTGCACAGGTTACATAGAGAATGCCTATAGGAATGGAATACATTAAATTAATTGGACATGCCACAGTCCTTCCTCTTCTTATGTTGTCATTAAAAAAAATATTTCACTGGTCTGCAAATGGGTGAGTTAATCTTAGTCCTGCATTCATGGCACAGGGGCAGTGAAATCCTTTTTATAGATTGTGTCTCCTTTATTTGCAGAAAGCCTGCCTTCCTTCCTTCCTTCCTTCCTTCCTTCCTTCCTTCCTTCCTTCCTTCCTTCCTGTTTTCTTCATACACTGAAATGCACAAATCTACACTAGATGGCTGAAAGGATATTTACTATTTATCTTCATTAAAGTGCACAGAGCAATGTAGAGACCACTCCCGACACTGAGACCTTCTTTTCAGTGCTCCTCAAAGATGGAGCTTCTGATCTATCTCCATCACCATAGGTCAGTTTTGCCCATTCTTGGACTTCATTGAAATGGAATCATACATCCAAATGTGCCCTTTGTGCGTCTGACATCTTTACCTAGGCTGTGAGGCTCATCTATGGTATTACACGGGGCAGTACTTACATCATTTGTCGCCTGCTTTCTCCCATACTTCGTCTTGCTGCATAGACCTGAAATAAGTGATATTACGAGAACCTGAATAGCACAGAGCTGGAAGTTTCCCATTTCCACTCCCCGAGGGTCTTTTTCTCCTAAAACCACCCTCTTTGGTTTCTCACAAAGCCTGTCTGTACACTGCTCTCTCTAGCTCTAAGTCTGCTTTAAAAGAAATTGGGGTTTGTGTGTTTGCCTTGGATGCTGTCAGTTTTAAAGAATTTTCTTAAGGACGTCTTCACTTGGCGAGTGTGGAAGAAGAGAGTAGGAGAGGGACATGTTCAGGAAGGACATTTTTAGGCAAAGAAGAAACAGCCGCTAAGGGCGTCATTTGGAACGAGAGCCTGGAAGCTAGCCTTCTGAACAGAGATTTGCATCATTCTGTGTTCCTCACCCTTCCTGTAGTCTCAATTCAGAGCTTAAGGGCACTGAAACTCTGCCTGCCCTTGGGGCAGGACAAAGTAGTCTAAATTCAGATTGACTCCTGAGAGAGAAACCATCTTTCCACCAAGACTGTGGCTTATGGGGTTCCCCTATCAAAGCTGGTGGGGTACATGTTGTGAAAACATTCCATCCCAGGAGGACCTGAGAAAGAGCTGATGCATTTCCATGGAGTCTTAAATGAAGATGAAAGGGCTCATTATTCCTACAAGTGTGATCATGTAGGTAAGTCAGGGATCAAGTAAAAAAATTAAAAATATGCAGTTGGCCCTAATGGCTGGTTGTTGTTATGTTCCTCTTAGGTATGTGCTGGTTCTTAGCCTTTGGTCTCAAGGATTAAGTTGTAGAATATTTGACTAAGGCATAATTAAGGTTTCTTTGTGCAGTTAGAATATTTTAGTAAGTTTATTGCATAATTGCTATATTTTGTACCTTTGCTAGGGACCTTGCAATATATTATTTCAGTCATTATCCATTGGACTTGGGAATGTAGATAGGATTATTTTATTTTAATAGCAAATTGAGGGTTAGAGAATTTAAATAGCCTGCTAGTAACTAATAGGTAGTAAGGAAACACATTCAAAATAGTCTTTTAGATTCTAAAGGCCTTGTACTACAATATCTTAATTGTTTTTATTTGTTTGTTTGTTGGTTTTTGAGACAGGGTTTAGGTTAACCTTGAACTCATGGCAATCCTGCCTCAGCCTCCTGAGTTTTGGGATTATAGACATGCCCCACCACACCCAACTAATAGTCTACCTTTTAAAAATAAATTCCCATTATTTTTTTTCTTTCTTTGAGACAGGGTCATGCTAAATTACCCAGACTGGCCTCAAACCTGTGGTCACCCTGCTTCTGCCTCACAAGTGCTGGTATTTCAAGCATGAGCCACCATGCCTGGGCTAAACCCCCACTTTTCTGATGTGCCAAATTTCTTGTCATTTCTTTCTGTTCCCAGCCACTGTACCTTTGCTCCAGTGCTTGTCCTACAACCGACTGGTTTTAGAACAGCTGAGAGCTGCAAGGATTTTGTCATATATTTTGATTTTATCTAGTTGTTGAAGCTTCCCGGTAACAGAGTGCACACATACTTACTAGACTCAAAGGATCTGTTTCATTTTATTAAAGGAATTTTAAAAACTACCTAAAACCAAAGAATGTAGTGGAAAAGACCTGGCTGGATGATAAGGAGATGCTAGTTTTCTTCCTAGCGTTACCACAAATCCAAAGAAATGGTAAGACCTGGGGACAGGAATTTAACTCAGTGACAACGTGCCTGCCTGGCAAACATGAGGTCCTTAGTTTGATTCATGGTACCAAGAAAAGAAAAGAAAAGAAATTGGAAGACCTGGAGTATAGATCTAACCACTCTGTGTCTCATTTGCAAGATGGGAACATTGAATTGTTCAACTACTAGTGTCCCCACCTGCTCTAAAAACCAGTCTCTGTGAACTTCTTTGGTTTATTGTATTTGTGATTCTAAAATGGGTTCAAAATACAGAGTTATCTGCTGGCAAAATAGCTGGGTTGTCCAAGCACCTGCCTGGCAAGTGCAAAGACCAGGGTTCAATCTCTAGTACTGCATGCCGTGCCAGCACCCCCATGCAATGCTGGCCACCAAAATTGGGCGTAATGGTGCATGCCTGTAACCTCAGTACTGGGAGGCTGAGACAGGAGGATCACTACTAGTCCAAATTGTGTAGTGGGACCCTGCACCAAACAAACAAACAAACAAACAAATAAATAAATAAATGATTTTTAAAAAGTTATCAAAGGAGCCTTAATCATTAAATGTAAATCCAGAGAAGTGGATAACATTGAAGATTCCACAAAATTTTAAAAGTATATAAATCTTTTTATCCTTCTAAGTCAAGTTACATTTTCCTTTGCATTTCCCAGTCTGTCACTCCCACCAAACAAGGGTATATAGGTTCTTCAGTAAGTCATACCGGAGCTTAGGTTCCTTGAGGGCTGTCAGCCTTTCATCTTAGAGAAGAGGATGTAAAATACTGCCCACAGCCAACCGCAGGTTACCAGCCTAAACACAGATCCTTGTTCAGTACATGAGTTAATAATATAAACTATTTTAAATTATATTTTGTATTATTGAATTAAGATGAATGTGCGATACTTAAACTGACACTGCTTTGTTTCAGACCCAGTAAAGAGAAAACTGGCCATGTGAGTGACTCAGGAGCATCTGTCATCAAACATGGACTCAGTATAGAGAAGCCCTTCATGCAGGTTCATTATTTAAAGGTAAGAACATCTAGTGGCAGGAGGCATTGTGACAGTGCAGCATATATTAAGTTATATGATGAAGATTAGTAACATGGCTGAGGCAAAGCAAAAATACCATCCTCAGTGCAGTAATGTCTGGGTGGAACTGGAGAGTGCATTCAGTAAAGCACTTCCCATGCCCAAAGGGGGCCACGCTAGGAAGGCTTGAGTCAAAGGAAGCGGAGGTGTCCCTGCCCTTTTCCTCTTCCCGTGTGGGTCAGCTTTGAAGAGCAGAACCTGCGCATTGCTCTCAGGTTCTGTGAGATGGTGGGAGTAATAAAGTAAGCTATTCCTGGAGCCAGTGCAGTGTGGAGTGGACCTCTCCTCCCTTTTGGCTGGAGATAGCTGTCCAAGCTGAATGGAGTCAGACAGAGTTGATGAGGAGCTTGCCAGAGGAGTTGGAGGCTCTGTAGTTCCTCCTCAGTTCCTACTGTGGGCTTCCTGGTCAGAAGGTACTGGGCAGCCCAGGAAGCTGAAGTGGTGCTTGTGAGCTGTGCCCTGTGCAATGGGCGAGGTGGAGTGTGCATATGTTTTTGCACTTCTGTGATGAACCCACAGTGGACATCTCTCTTTCTCTCTCTCTCTCTCTTCCAGGGCTACTTCCTCCTTCGGTTCCTTGCCAGAAGACTTGGGCAGGAAACTTATTTTTCATTTTTAAGAAAATTTGTGCACAAGTTCCATGGGCAGTTGATTCTTTCCCAGGTAACTTATAGGTCCTCATAAGTTCATTCTATGTACTTGGAGGGGATGTGACATTTGGGGATTAGATTATCCTAGTATTAAAAACAGAAAAAACACTTTTTCCATTTCATGCCATGAGAAAGATAATGAAGTGGACACAAGGAGAGTTGTCTTAGGGGGAGGGTGAACTCCCTGTTGTTTGGGAACAAACTATTACCCTGAGCTGCCTGTACACAGTGATGCAAATAGATGTACCCAAGGGACCTTAACAAAAACCAAAGCTATCCTGCTGTTCTCTCTACCTGAGATAATCTTTCCAAGCTTCTTACTCTTTAGTCTGTTTTGTGCCACAAGCTCAGAATCAGTCTAGCTAAAGATAAGTCTCATCCTTTCTACCTCTTTGTCCTTTTCACTGTATTCAATATCATTGCCATTACCTAGAATTATATTTTCACTTGTAAAGTATTTGTTTCTTTTCTATCGCTTTCACTTTATGTATAAGCTCAAGAAGGCAAGCATCTTCCCCACCCCCGGTCTTCAGTATCTGGCTGGTATACAGTAGGCATGCCAGAAAGATAGATGAATACACTAATAACAAGACACGCTGAAATAATCACATAACCTGACCACAGCTCTCAGAGAAGACCCTGTAAGCGCCTCTGAGTATGGAACCAAGCAGCACACAGCAAGAAGGCTAACAAAGAACAAGAGGCTCCAGAAGCAGAGCTCAGAGTGGAGAAAGGATAGGTGATGTGTCCTTTGCAAAAATTTGGCCAAAGAGTACTTTTGATGCTTGATTATTGTGCTCATACTACCATAAGACACATTATCCACAGTGGTAGATATAAAGGATGTGCATGTATAATCTGGACACATATGGAGGGAATGCCACATCCTTCAGTTTTTCTCTTACCTCCTTTGGTGAGTAAGTTCATTGTTTTTCTGTGAAAACTTTATTGAGATAAAGCTCACCATTTAAGATATACAAGCTAAGTGGGGTGTGGTGGTGCACACCTGTAATTCCAGCACTTGGGAAGCTGAGGCAGGAGGATCTTTGGGAGTTCAAGATCAGCTTAGGCTACAAAGTGAGCTCAAGGCCAGCCTGAAATGCATGGTGAGACCCTGTCTTAAAAACACAGAGAGAGAGAGAGAGAGAGAGAGAGAGAGAGAGAGAGAGAGAGACAGACAGACAGACAGACAGACAGAGACAGGCAGACGGGCAGACAGGCTAGTGGCTTTTAGTACATTCACAGATTGCACAATCATCATCATCTAATTTTAGAACACTTCCATCCAACCCAAAAGAAATCATTGCTATCATGAAAAGAAATGATTGCTATCATGCCTCCATTTTCCCTTTCCCTCTATTCCTTGGAAACCACTAGTCTTTTTATCTCTATAGATTTTGTACTCTGGGCATTTCACAGAAAAGAATTGTATGATATATAAGCTTTCGTACGTGACATGCTTGCACAGTTCGTGTAGCGTCCATCACCACTTCATTCCATTTTCTTTGTTCTTTTTTTTTTCTTCAGGACCGGGGATTGAACTCAGGCCCTTGCGCTTGCTAGGGAAGCGCATATTCTACTGAGCCACCTCCCTGGTCCTCTTTGTTTTTTAATATTAGGACTCCCTATGTGGCTAAGGCTGGTCTCAGTCTTCTGCGCCTACATGATCCTCTTCACTAGTGTCAAACTCCTGGGCTCAAGTGATCCTTCTGCTTCAGTTCCTAAATAGTATTCTTTCTCTTAATTTTATAAATTATGGTATATATACATGACATGAAAGCTGAAAATCTGAACCCATTAAACAGTTATTTTCCATTCTTCTCTCCCTCCACACCCAAGCCTCTGGCAAGTACTGTTCTTTTTCTTTCTATGAATTCAACTACTATGAGAGCCTCATGTAATTAGAGCCATTTGTCCTTTTGTGTCTAGCTTCCCTGACCTTGCATAATATCTTCCAGGGTCATCCAAGTGATAGCAATCAGAACTTTCTTCTTTTCTGACACTGAATAAATATTCCATAGCATGTATGTATCACATTTTGTTTATCCATTCGTCTGCCCATGACATTTGGTTTATTTCCATCTTTTGGCTGTCATGAATAATGAGACTATGAACATTAGTTATAAATATTTGCATGAGTCTCTGTTTTCAGCACTTGTGGACTTATATACAGGTGTGGAATTACTAGATTATGTGATCATTCTCTCTTCAGTGTGTTGAGGAGCCGCTATCCTGTTTCCCATAACAGCCGTACCATTTCACATTTATAGCTGCAGCGCAGAAAGTTTTCCATTTCCCCATATATACTTACTTTTCAACATTTGTTGCTGTCTCGCCCTCTCCCCTAATACCTGAAACCACTATCCGAATGGGTATAGAATTATATCTCTTGAAGGTTTGGATTTTCATTTCTCTGGTAGCTAATGATGTTGCCTGCCAGCCTGCCTGCCTCTCTCTCTCTCTCTCTCTCTCTCTCTCTCTCTCTCTCTCTCTCTTTCTTTCTGCTGGGGGGTTGGAGTAGGATGGAAGATATTGAGGATTCAACCCAGGGCCTTCTCACTGAGCTACACTTGCATGCAGCCTTTGAAGAAATCCTTTAAAAAAAAAAAATAAAAAACTTTTACTTTGAGATAAGATCTTGTTAAATTACCCAGGCTGGGCTCCAATTTGTGATTGTTCTGCCTCAGCCTTTCAGAGTGCTGGGATTATAAGCACATGCCACTATCCCCAGCTATGCAAATGTAATTTTTGATCATTTGTATATCTCCTTTAGAGAAATATCTGTTCAGATTTTTTGCCTATTATTGAGTTGTCTTTTATTATTGGCTTATAATAATATTAATATATTCTGGATATAAGTCCTATATCAGATACATGATTTGCAAATACTTTCTCTCATTCTGTGGATTGTCCTTTCTCTTTTTGATAGGGTTCTTTATAACATAAAAGTTATTATTTTTTTACACTGGATTAAGGATAATTTATTGTTTATATGTACAGAAAACTCAAGAGTACACTTAGCCTATTTAGTGGCAAGCTCTTTAGCTTTTGCTTTCTCCACCTTGGCAATATGATCCACAGAGTTTGGACCCAGAGCGTTGCCTCCCCAGTGATGATGGATCTAATTGTATCTGTCATTGTAGTTGGTCCTGATGGTCTCCACCAGTTTAGCCAGTGGGCCTTTGTCTTCTGAGTTGACTTGCATGAAGGCAACAATGGTACAGGTCTTCCTGGAGACCAGATTCCCCAGCCTGACCTTCTCCTTGATGATGCATTAAGGGACCCCCATCTTGTGACACAGGGCAGGCAGGAACATGACCAGCTCGATGGGGTCCACTTCATGTACAGTTACTACGAGCTGAGCCTTCTTGTTCTCTACCAGAGTGGTGACAGTGTTGACACCTGCTCTGAGAACTGGTGGCCTCTTCGTGGGGACATCCCCTTTGCCAGCAACTTTCTTCTCTGCCTGAGCCAACAGCCTCTGCTTCTTGTCTTGCTTGGTCTCTGGTCTGAATTGTGGGTGAGCTTAAGCAGCTGGGTAGGTGTTTGGCTGTCAAAGGCCTGGGTGAAGTGGTTAATTGCAGGGGCCACCTTCAGTCGCTTATATAGGATGGCCCTATGTCCCTGCATCTGGATGTAGCGGGGCCATTTGACAAAGTGGATGAGGTCTCTCTTGGGCTGGATGCCCTGTCCAATGCCAAAATTCTTTGGCCTCTTCTCAAACAGAGGATTTACCACCTTCTTAGCCTCCTGCTTCTTTATGACAGCAGAGGCTGGGGCCACTTTCTTGCCCTTGGCCTTCTTCCCTTTTGGCATGTTGGCTGGCTGACAGAAAGACAGCATAAAAGTTTTTAATTGTGGTAAATTCAGTTTATCTCTATGATTACTTGTGTTTATAAAGTGTGCCATATCTGTGAAGACACTGCTTCATGAATGTTCATGATTTGCTCTTGTGTTTTCATCAATGAGTTTAGTAATTTTAGATCTTATACATTTAGATTTCTGATCTGTTTTGTATACATTTTTGTATATGATGTGAAGACAATAGTCCAACTTCATTCTTTTGGATATGAATATCTAGTTGTTCCATAGCTAATAAATGAAGAGGCTATTCTTTTTCTTCGTTGAATTGTCTTAATACTTTTGCTAAAACCAATTGACTATTAATATAAGAATTTATTCTGGGGCTGGCCAAATAGCTCAGCGGGGGTTTGATCCCTGGGCCTGCTGTCCTGGCTCTGCTCCTGGGGCACGCTGAGATGGCAGTTGAGACTGGGTGTGGTGGCTCATGCCTGTAATCCCAGCTCTTGGTAGGCTGTAAACAGGCATTTCACTATGAGTCTGATCTAGTAGTGAGACCCTGAACACCCCAAAGACCCTTCCCTAAAAATTAAAAAAAAAAAAAAAATTCATTTCTGCACTGTCAATTCTGTTGATCTATTCCTATCTTTATGCTAGTACTAGATTACTTGGTTATTGTAGCTTTGTATTTGGAATTTTATTTTGTTTTGTTTTTTGAGATAGGATGTCTCTATATGGTTCAGGCTGGCCTTGAGCTCATCGTGTAGCACAGACTGACCTTAAACTTGCAGCAACTCCTGTTTCAGCCTCCTGAGCTGAGATTAAATGTGTGTGATACCACGCCCAGCATTGAAGTGATTGGTTTGTCAACTGCTACATACTCTACAAAAATTCAAGTAGGCTGGGTACAGTGGTACATACCTGTAATCCTTAGGTATTCTGGAGTCTGAAGCAGGAATATCAGAAGTTCAAGGCCAGCCTGGGCAATTTAGAAAGCCTATGTCTCAAAACATTTTTAAATGGGCTGAAGCACTCAATTTGTGGGGTTCTTTCTTTAACATGAGTGGGGCTTGGGTTGAATATCCAACATTGACCAAAAAAAAATCAAGCAATACAGAAAAGTACAAAGAAGGATTTAAAGTATCAAAATTCCATCACTCAGAGTTACCTTTTGTTAATATTATGTAAACATATAATTGCAGAAATAACACT